TTTTTAAGCCAAACCAAACTCATATTTCCTGCTCCGATCTCCTAAATCTCGTTTTTAGTTCAGAGTTTTTAATTATTTTCCAGCGAAACAAGGTTTATTATTTCCAGAAACTCATCTATTATACACCGCCGGTCAGTTTTCTAGTTCTACCCCCCTTTTTTTTATTCTTTTTTTTTTTTTGCCCATTTACTCCAGGTTGAGAGATATCAAACCGTTCCTAAATATGACTAGTTAAATTGTTTATAGGTCCCACCAAATTTCAATTTTATTTAAAAAAAAATTAAAACTTATCCGGCATCTTCTCTCATCTTCAAGATCTTCAATTCTGCAATTCATCGAACATAGAAATAAAAATTCTGCAACTCACCTTCTTCTCCAGTTTTGCAATTCATTATTTCTCCTTTTTTTTTGTTTTCAATTTGCAAAAAACATAACGCAAATTCTTACCAGAAGTGATTCTGTACACCCGAACACGGTGTTGTCGGGTTATGGAACGAGGACCAGACCGGAACGCCGGAATTGTTCATGATCACCAACAAGGTCCGGAATCCTCAAGAGTCATCTGGGAGTTCCATGATTTGCAATGCCGGAGTAGTCCCAAACAGTGGCGATGGAGCTGTGGGTGAGGCGTAGGACTCCGGTGGGCTGTGGGCAGCGCATAAAGGGCACCCGTACCGGAGTCAACAACGGAAACATCCGACCACATCGTGACTTCGGTGAAGCGGGAAATTTTGCCAACATATGAAAGAGGTAGGAAAATGTGGAATTGGGAGAGGACCATGATGATGAGACTGTAAAATGAAATGATAAGTAAAATGAAATTTGTGCCTATACTTTTGGGAGATTTCTGTGTTTTCTGATTTTCTCTTTCCATTTTCCCGAGAAACAAATAGGTCAGGCATTAGAAAAGAAGGAAAGGAAACTAAGTGAGAAGACGTCAGGATGGAAAATGACAAAAACAAGGTGCACAAAACTGAAAAAGCAGCGAACTTTTGTTTTCTTAAGCCACCGGTTAATATTACCGGTGGTTTTTGGTTTTCAGTTTTGCACTTAATTTTTATAAAATTTTCTAATTTAAAATGAATTTTTTTT